GCCGGACAAAAAAAAAAATACCTCCGAGCTGCTGGACATTGTGCGAATGAGAAGGGAAAAATCGTCCAAGGGGGGCGGTGACTAGTAATAAGGGGGGCGGTAAATAGTAGCGCCCTTTTGAATTTGAAGCGCACATTCCATGTCGTTTCATATTGTGGGGCTGCGTCGTTTGGGACCTTCGTGTATATAATCTATCTATATCTATATAAAAAGAATTACCATTTATCAAGAATAGTAAGTTAATCATTGGTCAAAATTGGTCAACATTAATTACATGTCATTTGTAGTATCTTTTTAATATTTTTTTAAATATTGTCCTTAAAATGAGGAGTTTGTTACTTTTTATTTTCAAAAAAGTGGGGCTGCTATTTAAATTTGGTCTATTGAATATTTGTGATGGTTTGACACAATGTGAATATCCAAAGCTGATAATACATTGCATCAATTAAACTTGATTTACAAGAAGCTATTTTTAAATTTGAATATAAATGTACGTCACGACTGCTAATTCAATTATAAATCGAGCAATTATATTCTCCCAATTTAAAACCAGATATTCGCCTAATACAATTATTTTGTTTGGCATCTTTTTTATAATAAAAAAGTTACAACTGATTTAATAATAAAACAAGTTACGTGCTATTTTTCCTAACCGTAAAATATACTTTTGTATTTTACAAATATCGGAGACTTTTTTTTTTTCTATATAATCGGCTAATAGCCTAATACATATGTTTTGATTAGCATGTTTTATTTAACAAAACAAATTACGGCTGATTTAAGGGTAAAAATATTAAAAAGAAACATTTGTTTATTTCTTTTGTAAATAATTTTTTTAACAATCAAATTGAGCAGTTTCAATTAAAAAAATGAAGTTGCGGCTGATTCAATTATTTTGTTTGACAATTATTTATAATGAAAAAAAATACACGACTCTAATTTTGAAACAATAAAAAATTTTATGGTCATTGTTTAAATTAAAGATTCGAAATAAGAATAATCTCCATATTTAAATTGCTTTAATTGTAAAACGCGATGTATCCAATATTTAGATAGATTTATCACATATCATCCCTTACATTAATGATTATTTTTATATATCAAAATACCAAATCAAAATTTTACGGTCTTTGTTTAAATTAGAGATTCAAAATATCTTAATCTCCATGTTTACATTGCTTTAATTGTAAGACGTGATGTATACAAGATTTAGATAGATTTATCACATATCTAAATTAATGACTTTGTTTTTAAAAAAAATCAAAATATCAAATCATAAAGTTGTGGTTGATTTAACTATTAAAAGATATTTTGCTATCATAGATTCGGGTTATCTTCAAACTCAAGATTTAAATTGCGATATATAGATATGGACATATTAAATACATATGATCCCTAAAATGAAGGATGTTGTTCTATTAGAAAACACAAAGTATGAACTTAAGATGTAGATTTATCATGCACGTGTACTACAATTTTACATGCTATGAAAGTCATATTGTTTACCCGTGCATCGCACGGATACGCACTAGTAATATGAATTTGAGATAATTTTTTGATAAAATTATCAAATTTAAAGTTGAAGTGATGTGTAAATTAGTTTATGTTATCACATGTATATTATGTCAATTATGGTATGGTCTCATTATTGTCTAATGCTTAGGGCTGCAAACGAGTCGAGCTGAGTCTAGCATTGATCTTATCAAGTAGAATTGAATTTTGTTTAGCTGCTCGAGCTCGACTCGATAAGAAATACAATAGCTCGAGCTCGACTCGAAATCAAAATGCTCGAGTTCGGCTCGAAAATTTTTAAGTGGAAAAATAAAAATATAATTAAACATGTGTTATACTATTTAAATACATATATATGGGGTATTTTCATAATTTAACATATATATCGAGCCGTTCGACGATCCAAACTATGAGCTCGAGCTCGACCTGCTCGAGCAGCTCGAGCTCGACTCGAGTTCGGTCAAACTCGAACTTGAGTCGAGCTTTGACTCGAGCGCTCATTGCAAAATCTGTCCTTCAAAGTTTTTTCATAAGTTTATGTATTATTTGATTAACAAGTGTTTTCATATTTAAATAAGTTTGGCTATGAGTTTTTTGAAACGTTTGAACTTTTACATGGATAAGTCTATTGAAATTTTTTATGTGAGTTAATTTTATCATATAGTTTTATTATATCAATTAGCCTTTTAATCATTAGTCATAATCTATGAATTATCAACTCAAAATTAATCAGAATTTATGTATAAACATCAATTATCTTATCCACTGTGGACAACAGTGTTTAAAATAGACAACAAGAATGTGAAAGAAAGTTGACCAAAATAGATTGTAGACTTGTGAAGAAAATTATTGGTTGAAGTGTGGAAAATGGAGTGTGTGTGTGGAAAATGAAACATACATTTTGAAGAAAATCCTTCCCATATATGATATTAAAATAAATGGCACAATGTTCATAAATTTTGTGGTTTAATAAATTGATTGAAATAAAAATAAAAAATAAATTGTGGTTAATGAATGAACAAAATATTGATTGGAATAAAAAAAAATCTCAAAAATAAATTTTGGCATCTCAAAGTGTTACTCGGATGACCTTCGAGGCTTCGAAGATCAGTCAGATTGCTACATTAATGAAACTTCAAGATAGGGATCACATGAAGAAGGCAATAACACAACAGATTGTGAGCACATAAGTTTTATCAAAATTACAACAAGGGTTCAGAATACATTTCCGAAAAAAAAACTGAAGACACGAACGAAATGAGAATACCGGGAATCCAAGAAAAAAGACACATTTCTACATCTTATTGACGAAGCATTTGCTGCAACTGAAGTATCTGATTTCTGTGTTCGGGTGGCATCGAATTTATCTGTTCTGGTGTGAGGCTCATAACTTGCTGGAGCAACGTCTTTTCCAACTCAGGAGTCAACTGCACAATCACACAAACACGAAAAAATAAATAAATAAATAAATAAAAAATAAATAACAATAAAAAAAAATAAAAAAATAATAATAATAATATAATAATTATAATAATAATGCAAGCAGAAGTACACTGCACTTCATGTACATAAGATGACACAAACAACAATATAGAAATAGCGCAGGAAAATATATACCTGTTGATCTGGTCGAGAAGGCTGACTGCTAGAGACCACTTGACCAGGAAAAGACGGTGGTCGATGAAGCTGGCCCATCGGATTTTCTTGGACGCCAGGTGTCCAGTTGGATCCTCTATCTGTCTGTCTCGAGTTTCCACTTTGATTATAATCCATTCCCAAATGCGGATTTCCACCCTGGGGTCCACAAAAAGTGTGCATGCTCTCGGTGACACAAAAAAATAATCGTGAAGATAGATATACGTGCTACCAAAGCAATTGCGAAAGCATTTCTTTTTATTGTATTTTTTTTCACGTCACGTTGAATCTAATTGTTTGAAAATGTTGCATAAGAGAAGACACGCCAACCGCATTCATGATCTCTCGTCTAATGAGGAAAAAAGAGGCAAGAAGCATAGAGGATAGAGTGGTTAAACAAAGGTCTTAACTGAGGCAGAGAATCTATTTTGGTGTTTAGGACGTACCTATAACAATTAATATACAATTAAATGCCAACACCAGTTTAGCACTCTTGGGGATGAATATATGCACAAAATACATTGAGAGGAACACTCGATCTCCAAGCATTTCTCAGTTAGTCTCTAAATCACACAATTCACTCAACACATTACATGTGATTATACGGGAGTCAGGAGCACAATGCAGTAAAGTCAATGAAAGCATAATTAGAACAGTGCAGAAGGCCAGACTGAAGATCGACAAGTCATAGACCAGAACAACTATAGCAACATCCATATATTCACACTGAGCTGATTGCAAAAAAATGTAAGGGCTAACCTGATATAGTGATGGGGGCAAAGGCTGATTAGGAGGATGTGGCAGTTGGCCTTGTGGAAATCCAGGCACCATACCACCATGAGGTTTTGCAGCTGCCTGTAACTACATCAATTAAAAAAATAAGCCAAAAGCAATTTAAGAAAAAAAAAAAAA